TCTGTCTGTTATGTCTCTAGCCATGGAGATAAGCTCTATCTGTTTTGTCTTGTCTCAGATAGCCTCGCCAGTTTCTCTTTCCCACACACACACACACACACACACACACACACACACACACACGTTAAACTATTTGTCTTTTTTAAACTATTTTATATTTTACTTTACTTTACTTTACTTTACTTTACTTTACTTTACTTTACAGATATGCCACTGGGTAACAGGCAGATACCCCAGCAGAATGAGACCTGGAAAAAGAATGCATCTCAACCAAAATCTGGTGGACGCAGGAGGTATATGTCTGTGTGCATTATGTATTCTTTCATTGATTTCTTTATGCTCACACAAGCTGCAAAGTGTTGTTCAAAGTTTATATAATTTTTGATTGTTTAATTCATCCTTATGGCTGAAGCTTAATTATTCTGAGCATGTGTGTGTGCATGAACACTGCATGTGGCTCTCCATTCTCAGGTCTGACTCTATAGAGAACATTGGGCCAAATTCATCAACATCACCTTCATTCACAGATACACAACCACCTCCATCACCAAACAGGTACAGCACAGTTTCTCTGATGTGAGATCACAACTAAAGATCCAAATGATCCAGTGTTAAATGATCACTCATTCCCTGTTTCCACCCATCACAAAACAGAATTGATTGTAAGTGAATTTTGAGTCAGTATTTGAGTTTGAGTCATTATTTGCCATAATTAAATTTGTATTATATGATAATATGAACAAATATCAGCATTGGCACTCCCATTTCAGTCATCCATTAGTTTTGATGCTGTGCATTTTCTGTTAATGTCTGCTGCTGTGCTTATTACTGACAATTATTATTTTTTGTTACACTTTATTTTAAGTTGTCTTTGTTACAATGTAATTATAGATTTAAGTACTGGGTAATATTAATTAATAAAATGTACTAAATATAGGGTTAAGGTTAGGATTAGGGTTAGTTGCAAGTAATTATGTATAATTTACTGTTTTTACTGTAGTCATTACATATAACATTTAACAAGGACACTATAAAATAAATAATGTATAATACATAAAATAATAATAAGGTATTTTTAATTTAATTATTTTTTAACATACATTCACTTTTGTTTGTGTATGTGTAGGTCTGTCAGTGGGAAGAAACTGTGTTCAAGTTGTGGTCATCCACTTGGCAAAGGTGCCGCCATGATTATAGAGACTCTCAGCCTTTACTTCCACATCCAGTGCTTTAAGGTATGTGTACATATTACAGCTGGAAAATTACAGATGCCAGTGGCGTAGCCATCATTTCAGAAGTGAGGGGGACAGAAATGTCAAATATAATAATACCTTTTTTTTTTTTTTTTGGTCTAATTAACAGGTTTTCTTATCTTTTACTTTTAATTGGCTAAGAAATCAGATACACAGCTGGACAATTACCAATAATTTTGTTATTCTGTAATATTTTTTCCTATATTTTCCTAATGGCAATTTTTTTTATTTGTTCATATACTACACTTTTAAAAAACGTTTTTTTAATTTTTTAAATTTTTTATTGTCAAAAACTTTTGACTGGTAGTGTATAGGCAACTTTAATTTTTCTCTAATGTCTAGCTTTTAATTGGCTTAGAAATCAGATAACTGCTGGACAATAACCAATAATAATTATTTGTTTATATACTACAAACACTTTTTTATCACATAAGGCAGAATAGTTTCTATACTGTAATAAATGCTATGTCAGTTAGCACTGCATTGTTCATATACTTTATTTATTACCTGGAGATGACTTGACAAACACAAATAAACCATATATTGTGTATTGTCGCAATCGTACGTTTAATGTCTTCATGTTTCCAAACGTTTCTGTTTTTCTGTGAAAACAACTGTTTTCATACAGCGATAGCTGGACGCTTTTGTCCATTTCCTCGTACGACTTTCTGCGCGACAGCGCTCTCCGGCTACGAGTATGAATGAAACATACACTGCACGGAGTGTTTAGCGCTGCGCGATGTTCATCTCGCTTTAATCTGGGTCCGAATAAAACATCAGATCATGCACAGACTATACTGTCTCTTTGAATTTAAATCTATATTTATTCACACCGGCTCTTGAAAACCTCTATGCGAACACACTTGCCCGAAAAAGTGCGGGGGACGAATTTACGTGATATTAAAAGTGGGGGGGACACGTCCCCCGCATCCCCCGCGTAATCTACGCCCCTGACAGATGCCAATTTATATCGTGATGTAATCACTAATATTGTCAATGTCACTAAAGAGACCCATTGACAGGATGATAACTTTAATGATGACTATAAAGTTTTAATAATCGTTCTAATTTTATGAGAACAGGGAAGTCCACACCTCACACATTTTTTTTCCATTTGATGAACACTGACAGCCAATCAAATATCCCCTTGACTTTAAAGAGCTCAACCATTTCAAGTGGCAGATGACGTAAATGCACACTTCCAAAAAGTAGTACATTATCATCCAATGTTGTGGATGCTAATATAGTTATCATTATAGTTGTTGTTCTTGGTGTTTACGTAGGATCTGTTATAGGGATAAATATTGTGGATTCTACTGTGTTTAAAGATTATCCATATTCTTATGAGATATTTTCCAGATGAACCATCAGGGTTTATGGCACATTGCAGATGTTTGGCTTTTCATTTAGTTTTACTGTCAGAGTTCCTTCTCTATGAGGTTCAAAAATCTGGGGTTCATAAATTGTTTAAATGTTTTTGAAAGAAATCTATTATGCTCACCAAGGCTGCATTTAATTGATAAAAAAAATACAGTAAAATAGTAAAACTGTGAAATATTATTACAATTCAAAGAACTGTTTTTTATTTGAGTATATTATAAAATTTAATTTATTCCTGTGATGGCAAATCTGAATTTTCAGCAACCATTATACCAGTATGTAACAGAGTGGAGACAGGAAGTGAATTTAAATGCAGGGTTTATTTCAAAGCAAAAATTTGTCTATAAAACAATACCAAAACACAAGAAACAACAAGGGGAGACAATGAGGAATAGCATGTAAATGCAAAGCAGTGAATGTCTGTAGGAGACAGAGGTTGAGTGTTAATGCTGTGTTTTTGTGCAGTCTTTGATTGAGTGCTAAGTAGAATCACGTGCAGGTGAATAATTCCAGGGATTGTGAACAGAGTGAGCAGGATGAAGACCGTGATAGTGACAAAAGTGAGGGAGAACTTGGTGTGGTGACACAGTGACTGGTTTGTCACAAAAGATCTAAAGGAGACCTATTATTACATACAAATTTTTCCCATTTAGAATGTTTCTCAGGTTCGCTTTCGGAGGTGAAGCATGCCAATATTGAGCCCTTTGGCCTTGTCATTTTGCGCCTTCACAGAGTGCATGGATGCAGCCTTGGCTGAATTGCGACTCCAGAGCATCCGTGTACTGAATTGTCTTGATGACTGGCTAATCTTAGCTCAGTTTGAGGCATTAGCGCTTCTTGCCTGTTGCTAGGGTATTCCAGCCAGCCTATTCCAAATGTTGTTGGGTTTATAGCAGCGGCCCTTGTCATCACTCTAGTCCTGCTCCATATGAGGCCCTTACAATGGTGGCTCCAATGCAGGGGCTTTCAGTTATGCCCAAGTGCCTTTGTACCCTTCTTTTGTGGAGATGACCACGGTTTCTAAATCAGGGCGTATTGGCCTCAGAAAACTATTATGACGGATGCCTCACTTACAGGCAAGGGTGCTCCCTGAGGAAAAATGTATTGCTCAGTGGTGGCTCTTCCTAAGCTCAGGAGACTTAGTCGTGATTCTCAAATATCTCTCATTTTAGTATCAACAGCATTTCAGATGTTTCTCCAAAAATTCCATAGGAGAAATAAAAGTAGACACAAATGAGATATAAGGAAGTTCTGAGAGAGAAGAGTCCAAAATGAGAATGGGCTGTGAGCAACATGGGAGATCTCTTTATTGTCTTGTTGTAATCTCTTTCAAGACTTGGTTGATTGGCCGAATACCTCAAGCGTGTGATGGAAACGTTACACCCCTTACCATATTTGGAAACACACAAAAGTTACGCCTTCTTTCTTTGTGTAAACATTTGGGCGGCGTTATGCAAATCTTCCCACACAGTGACATAGACATGTGGGGGCGTGTTAGAACGAGCCG